AGTAAAAATTAACTGTTTTCATGTTAGAATATGGCTTAACGAAATAATTACTTTATTTATGTGATAAAAATTAGTATTACCATAGTAAAAGTTAAGTCGGAATCATGTTGTGAGAGTCCATCGAAAATACAAGACATAGTAAAGTCTAATTTAAAATTGTATTAAAACTTAATATAAAATTTTCTCCGTGTACTCTGTTACATGCCTTTATGTTATATTAGTTTTGTGTTATGATTTCAGCTTCTTACTGTTAATATTATTAAAATTATTGTGAGTTGAATGGATTTGTCACTGTAATAAGTAACGCCATTATAAATTAATAATCTATATAAAATGATTGCTGTAGGGCGTGTAAAAGACTTAGTGATTATTTCGTGATACATACGTGTAGTGGAATAGTAAAGCATATTGTGTAGCAAAATACAAATGCTTTGCTTTCGTATTTTTTGTTTAGTTTGTTGTCTTGTATATCCCACCTGTTTATATACGGCATTTTTAGCGAACGGAATGTATGCCCAAAGCATACAAAGTGCGCAGATTGAATTCAGTGCACTAAATACAATAAACGCATTATATGAAATATGTACACTGGAAAAAAATTTATTAAATTTTAGTAAATATTTGTTTCAATAGTACTAACGAAATATTTACTAAATATAAACACATATTTATTTAATTTAAGCATAATTTTTTTATTTTGAGTAAATACTTATTTACTGTAAGTAAATATTTCGCTAGTACTATTGAAACAAATATTTATTAAAATTCAGCAATTTTTTTTCCAGTGTACCTCATGTCATAACACTTGTAATATATGTAGGAAGATTGTAATTATTATTTACTTTATATACATTTACTACATAAACACAGTAAATAATACTGAATAAATTAAGTTTTTGATAGATGCGGCGTATATACCGGAGTTACCTTATCTGCTGTTCAGCGAGAAAATAACGCTCACTGTCGCGGACTTCTCTTTCACGGATATCTTCTCCCACCCCCATAAGTTTTTTTAGGAGCAAAACGGCGCGTCCGTACTCACTTCTTTTTAAAATATTTATCATATTCATAATTTGAAAAATCGCTTGGAACACCGTCATTTACACGGTGAGAATTAATACTGGTCGATTTATTACTAAAAGGTAATTAATCACTTATTTGAATTACGAAAAATAATCAAGAACATCTTTGAAAATAACTAATTAATTACTATCTTTTAATATTAGCCAATATTAAATTTCTGTAAAGGTTGGCTGAGGAGATACAATATATAATATAACATCGTTTGTAAAAGGAAAAAAGAAAAGAGCATATAATATATTTGAAGTGAACAGCTTCTGTGAGATTTGCGAAATTCGTTTCTCTTTTCTGTTCTACGATGGGTAAGTAATGAAAGCTTTGAGAAAATTAACTTACGCTAGAAAAAATATAGAAAATGTGTATAGTTGTCTCGCAAAGCTGTTTTATTAATTTGCGATTTTTCTTTTTTATTCCCTTTTGTCCGTACTATCTTTGCGGTAATTCCAATTAACGCGCCGTAGGAAGATGAAATTAAAGACTAATAAATGAAAAGATAAGATAAGAATCGCGCACATAATTAATTAAGGGCCTGCCTTATTTGAATGCTAATGAGAGTGATTTGTAACTGCCGTATTACATCTCGTTTATACAGACCTAGCTAGTATATTATTACGCGAGATAGTAATACAGAAATCGTAATATAGGTACAGAGAGAATTGATTGAATCAATACCGGTATGCAATTTGTAATCCAACTGTTATGTTCATTCCGCGCGTATTGCAGAGCATTCATCGTTTTAAGGATGATAAAACGCAAATCGAGGACCGAACAATCAGTCTCTTGTAACGATCGGCGTATATAGTGCCCTTTCCTATCCCGTATAATCGAAGTAGTTCATATACAAATTCTATCCTAAAATTCTATAGCTTTTCCCTGATTTCCAGACAAAATTTCATGATTTTCCCTAATTTCAATAATATTTTGAAATTTTTTTGTATTTTTGCCATTGATTTGGAAAACCAAATATTTTGTTGAGAAATTAGTTTAACATAGCAATATCAATTACAACAGTGCAAAGTGATTAATAACTAATTAATCACTTTGCACTGTTTGCATTTTTAATTATTAAGTTGATAGTATTCCAAAATTATATAGGTGTGATATACGCACATTAAACTTCTTTAAAGCCAAGAACTTTAATTTTCCAGAAAATTTTGAAAAAGTCTCTAACTTTTTTAATACTATAATGTAACTGCCTATTACGGTCCGAACTGGATCTTTGTTGCTTTAAATAATTCAATCTTGAATTACTAATATATCATATATATGTACTTGCATATATACCATATTGTAGTCTTTTTCAAACTGCGCGCCGAATTGTTTTTCCGGACTAAATAAACGCAATTAAAACTACTCTAGTAATCTCTAACTTTTTCTTAATTTTCCTGGCCATTTTTAATTTCCCTGACATTTCTCTGATTACTTTGATTTTTAGTCTTGTGGCAACTCTGATTATAATAAATTTATACACAAAATATGAACTCACGTTAATTTACTGACATCTCGCATTAATTATTTACGCGTCGAACCGCAAGATCATTTTAAGTTCATTTATCACGACTGTATTGAGAAACGGCATTCAACAGCGATTTATCCTGTTGATATATGTCTCAAGACATCAATTTTCGAGTTCGACATTTTAAAAATAGATGAGTTCTAACGTTATTAAATAGTCAAACAAATTTAAAACGTTCGTCATCAATTTCATTCGCCTTATTCGAATGTGAGCTTAAGACGTCAAACTTTGAAACTGAATTTCTCTGAAAGATTAGGTGTACCCTCACATCTGTGTGATAATGTTTCACACGTTATTGGTACATGATAGATATGTATAGAATCTTGAAATTGTAAAATTGTGTGCACAGCGTTTCATCAAAATTCGAAAAAATTCGAAATTGATTTTTCTTTTACAAGAATCGTAGATCACGATTTATCACAACTTTTCGAACTTCGGCATCTTATATCGTCGTAATTAAATTTCTAATTAAAAGTTCCGTTAAAATCTACTCCATATTGAGCACCAAATAATGTCTTGCATTTGTTCCTCGAATTTAATTCATAGAAAAGTTTCTCGCTCTTCACTGAGAAACCCATTTAGTTGAATCAACCAAGGATTTGTTTGATCCATATCCAAACAAGAAATTAATCGATGCAATAAAATAATTTAGTTGAAGCAAAGCAATTGGTTATTGTAACTTTTACTGGTTTTACGGGTATTGTAAATTTTACTTGTTTCTGATAAACATTGACACATCTGATAAAGTTATTTACAATAATCAAATGTTTGGCTTTAACTAAATTATTTTATTGTATCAACCAAGGATTTGTTTGCCCATATACAAACGAGAAATTAATTGATTCAACTAAATGGGTTTTTCAGTATTGTTTCCTCATAATTTAAGAATTTATTAGTGCCTCAAAGATATTTTTACCATTAAAAATTGGAATTTTCGGAGTGATATATTTCTATTTTTCTTAATTTTAGGAAATTCTATATGACGTAAAGTACAGTTATTTAATAATTATGTAAATAAAGAATTTGATTTGTATGTAGATGATACAATATACACCTAAAATGATGTTTACGTAAAATATTTGATCCGTATGTAAAATACATTTTTTATGATTTCCATCCACGAAATAAATTCCATTTGTGAAATAAATTCATTGTCAATCAAACAAGAATTTTCGAGGAAAAATGTCAAAGGAAAATGTAATCTTTATAGGAAGCAAAAAAAAGCTAATAAACACTACTGTCAATAATACTATAATTTTCTACATTTCATTATACAATTAATAATTTTCTATATCTTAGTTTAAAAAATGGGAATGTAGTAGAAAAATTATATATTTATTTTTATTTTTAAATAAATGTAACACAAGATCGTACTTTGCCTTCAAACACGCACGTGTTACTCCAATAATAAATAATAAACGGACGTTTGCTCCGTAAATCGAATGAACTCAACCAATGAAAAAGAAAACCATCTGCATTGAAACGAATTACGTTTGCTCAATTGCTTCAAAGCCACTTTAACATTTCAATCCCTAATGAAGTTATATTCTTCGTGGGTGTGCAATTCCTGTTGTGGGAGTTATTTCTAGAAAATTATGGGGAGTTATTTCTAGAAAAAAATAAGCTGTGGATACATCCGATTCCTAAAACTAAAGGTAAATATAAAAACTTGTCCTTATATCAGGAAATATTGAATTGCACAACATACGAAGTTGTTAAGTTTTGTATAAGTTTCTATTTCCTAGACGTAAAATAGAAATATCGAAGAGTTTTTAACAACATATTTCGTATTTTCGTTATAAACTCATATTTTTATATAAACTTTTTTAAATTTTGCAGAGGTGGCAGAATAGATGCGTACTTTTATGCAGAATGGCAAACAATCTCTCAATTATCATATCAAATATCAAAGCTCTGTATGTAAAAATATTTTATTTACATATTAATTGTATTTACATAATATTATAACCGTGTATAATACGATCCTACATATTATAATTTCATATATAATCGTATTAACAAATCTACGTTAACATTTAACGCATCTCATTAGACTTGTGAATTTAAACGAGATTCTGCAAAAGATATTAATTATATAATAATAACTTTGCATGAGTTTTTTAAAAAACGCAAATCTGGATCGTACCGCATGATTTTTTTTCTGGAAAAGTATAATCTTTCACTTCGAGCGCAAACGAGTTAAAATTATGATAGCTTCGTACAATAAGCCATTACCTCAGCTTTAAATCTTAAACCGTAAGAAATCGATCAATTTAATTGATTATTCTTCTCACGTTCGACTGTGATTGGTCAATTTCTTACGGCTTAAGACTTAAAGCCTAGGTAATGCTTATTATATACAGAAAGCCCATTAGATTTAAATATTCAATGGAACGGTACCAACCTGGTGAAAGCGTGAAGATAGCAAAGAAGGTGGTCGTTGAGAGCAGATGGTTAGCAAAAGCAGAGGGTTACGGCTTCGTTGCGCTCGTTCACCCCCTTGACCGCGCCGCTAGATTGCGAGTCGGTGTCAGCCTGAACGGGATCGCGAATTCGCACGAGGGATGTAGTACCCTCGAATTTGATCCCCGAAGTTCTGACTTTGCGACTTGGACAGACGTCCGTGCTGAACGGCGACGGGATAGTGCGGAGGATCGCGGGATGTCTCGCGATGTGACGCGCGGGATGGATGGGATGGACGAGAAGATAACGGAGATCACCCGTCGGCGTGTCGCGGACGTGGACGTGGACGATGGCTCGATGAAGGAGGACGAAGGGTTGCAAAGACAAGCGTCGCGTGGGATAACCGGCGTGAGGCCCGGACGAGAACCGTGTGACAGTGGCGAGAACAGCCGGAGATCAGCCCTTAAATACGCGCCGTTCTAACTGCCATGCGCGTTTCATGGGGCGCCAGAGAAATCATACGTCGACGCGTAACTTACCCTCTCTCACCATCCTTCCCATGCTGCACCCGGGACGCACGCGGGGTAAAGATACGACGCACATTCTCTTGCGATACGCACGGAATAGAAGTTTTATTAGTAATACGAAAGGACACATTTACGTAAGGTAATGTGGCGAAGAAACGTGGTCCCGATCAACCCGTAGTCAAACTTGTTGCTTTCGCGAAGCCCGGAGGACGCGAGACGACGTGTATGCAAACCTGTACAAAGTGATGCGGGGATACCTGAGAAATACGAGACGGTTCAATTTTTCTGCATAAAATACAACATATGACGTAATAATGATAAATAACGACAATGATAATATATCTAGGCATAGTTAATAAATTATATCCGATAAATAAAATGAGCCATATGGAAATTATATATAATATAAAAATAGAATACACTTGTCGTATATTAATTATCACGTACTGAATTAATTATGATACCTACATTTATCAATCTGATTTTGAAAAGATGCAAAAAATTAATAGAAATTTTTTAACTACCGTATGTTTGCATTATATCTAAGCAGAACAAGTCACGTAACATCGAAATGATATTAAAATGACGTTAAGATAAATTGTAAATGATATTTTGGGGTCATTTTGACATCATTTTGTTATTATAATAACTTGTTGTTCCGCTTGGGTATGCAAAGAATTTTATTTTCTATGTCAGTCTGTATACGATGTGTTATTTATAATTTTTTGACGTAGAGCTTATGTCATTATTAAGATTTCATATTGGTAATATGCATTGTTTTTCTTGTCTATAAATTTAGATGGAATATGCAGTAGTAATAAATAGTGAGTAATTTATGTGTGCACAGAATGTGTAGTAAATAGTATGTAATTTATGCGGTCACACACGTGGAACTCTATTCGTGTATCCTACTTAAGATGACGGAAATTTTTCTCGAAATAACTTTTCATATGTCTGCTCATGTTTTATTTATCTTAGCAGAAAATCACGTACATATTTTGTGCTTTTGTGTAATTTTCTTTCAAAAGACTTCTGTAAACGTTAAAAGCTCCTTCTAATAATAAGCGCATTTATTTCAGAGAAGACTTTAATAATATTTACATAATTGTGTACAGGTCTATTTTATTGCATAAGACTCTTATTTTCTACAACTTTGTTTCTTATCACAATTCCTTGCAATTCAAATATTTATCAATAAAAACAAAGCATGTTAATTTTTAATAATAAGGTGTGAAAATCTAAAGAAATTTTCAAATTTTTTTAAGAAATGACAAAATATGTGTAATTCATTTAATTCTAAAAATAGATAACCAACCCCATAAAGGACTGCCATCAAATGGTGATGATGATTGCTTAATTTTTATATATTATTTACTTAATTACGTAATTATTACACATTAATTACTTAATTACTTAATTATTTAATTATTATACATTATTTAATTATCATATACCTTTCACTATTTTAGTTAAACAAATTTAATAATTGAATGCTTAATATGTCAGTAATACAACCTTTCACTCTATACATTTCTCGAATAATCTACCAGCATTGAAAAGTACTTAGAGGTTTCAACGAGATCTAGTTGCATTATGCACTATTCAAGTATACATATACAAATATATAATAAATAAATGGCCTGCTATTTGCATTAGCTTAATACGATAAAGGCTGAACGTAATAAGTAAAATTTACAACACACAATGCATTTTTTTCTTGCTGGATTTATATAGAATTACTAAAATTTCTGTCTTCTATATGATGTAGTTCTAACAATTTATTGAAACGCGGATAATCCAGTAGGAAAAAACAGATCGTGTGCATAGGTTTAATTGTTAATAGTTATTGATAGAATTGTGTTAACACAGATTTAATCCTGAGCATTGTGAGGCATCAGGTGCGATACGAATGACGTGATTAGGGATTTTTCATTGAACTATAGGCGACAGATTCTCCCACGTAAACTCGGAAATTCTTCCTTGCCTCTCGTCGTCCTATACATATATCTCTAAAATGTAAACATCGATAAGAGCGATACATCTCCGTAATCATAAATTTGATTCTAAAATTATTAACGTGAACTATATAGTTACATGAAAAAATTTAGAAACTCTTCTTTTTTATCGGAATCAATTCATATGTAATAATAATAATAATTTGATTGTATAGACACAAGATCAATTTACGATAACGCAGATAATTAAACACAAATGAAAAAAATTTACACGCAAAAGATAAGACATCAACAAAGCTGTCGCTATAATACCAATAATGAAAACATGATTAAAGCGCAAAGTACAATAGAAATTTCGTAAAACGACACAAAGCCTATAAAGTAGTGTTGACGATTTATCCCGGATCTCCGAATATCCGAGATAGAGATAGATCCGAGATAAAATATTCGATTGAACCGGATATCCGGATCTTTCGGATCCGAAATTTGAGATTCGGATGCGAAATTTGGCTGAATGTTGATTTTGAATCTCCCGACATCTTTCGGCGCGCGCGCGCGCGCGTGTGGGTGTGTGTGATATTATGAGAAAG